GTCTCGTAAGTACGTACCGCGAACTAGACCATCGCACGGTGTTGATGATACTTTTTAGATGAATAAATTTCATCACTAAAATATCTTTTCTTGACAATTACGCGATTTTCCAATAAGAAAAAAGTCATTTTTCTTCTACAATTATGTTTTCTTTGTAATGAGGAAGTGTTTCCCTAAGTGTTCGAAAAAAGAAAGAAAGAGAGAGAAAGAGAAACAAACCAATGCGAATATGTTTTGTCGTCCAGGTATTCCAAGGAGAGTTAGTTTACTTGCGATTATTATTAGAACGTCGTCTTCTCGTAACAAGCTTTGTCAAAAGAAAGAGAGAAAGAGAGAGAGAGAGAGAGAGAGAGAGAGAGAGTAAAATAACATCAGCTGACACACAATTTCGGTACAAAAATTGTCTTCTCGAGTTTTTGTTACATCCTCTATTGTGCAACATCCGTGAAACATATTGCGTTAAATATTTTTGATTCAATATCATTTCTCTATAAAAGAAATATGATAATGAGGGGGAGGGGAGGATTAGATGGTTAGAAAATGTATGAAAAGTAACAGGTGAGAAATTAAATATGGTTGGTTGAAATAGAAGAATGGCGGAAGAAAAAAATTAAAGTTGAGAGAGAGAGAGAGAGAGAGAGAGAGAAATATAAAGAGCACAAACAAACGGAAGCGAGAGAGCAAATAAGAGAAAATGAACAGGGCAGTTGGGGCTCGTGCCAGATGCGCGTTTACACGGGCCCTGAATACTGTAAATGCACTATCTGGTACGACATCTCTCCTGTCGCCGCCACCATTGATGTTCCTCGACGTCGATGCTGCTCCGTTCGATTGGCACTTTGAAAAAATACCAAAAAAAAAAACAAAAGTCTACGAGAACAAAAAAGTCTACCAAGAGAATAATAAAAAAAAAGATTTCAATCATTTATCTTTTTTTTTTCTTCTAAATTTTGTTTTCTTTTTTTCTAATCTTGTTACAAAGTCCTTTTTCGAAAATGATTAGTTCGAATCAATATCGTTTGAATTTCTCCCGGCAATTCCGCGATATCTGCGCGCGCACAATTTCATGATGCGTGCGCACGCAATTCTCGCGCGACGCGCTAAAATTCGAAATAATTTCACAATGTTCTTGTTCATACATATCAATGCAATCCGATTTTCTTGTGGTAATATTACTATTATAATTATTATTGTGATAGTTTTAGTTTTAATAGTAACAGTTGTTGTAGTATAGTTTAAAACTTAATTGATCCTTTTAATTTTGTTGTACATGTTTATTGCTCTTCATATAAATCTTATTATTTAATTATATCTCATTGATGTATAGAATGTGATCATTTAAATGAAAATAATCATCGATCAAATCGTAGCTTTTGTCGCATGTAAAATCAAATTGATCATTGTCACATCACTTTTCATTTTCATTCTGTTTATCTATAAAGCACGAATTTGATGAAGTATTATTATTTTTCAAATGACATATGCAAACATTACTACGATCTGATTATCTATAATAATATATTATTTAATTGTATCATAATATATAATTTGTATGCATTCGAATAGCAAAAGAAATGTTAGAAAAAACAATAGTAAGCGTCGATGATCTAATTATATGAAATTATTTTCATTACATTTAAAAAAGAAAACATTATTGTACAAATATTGCGAAGAAGATCTGTAGTTTCGTAGCAAAAAGAAAATATACAAAATGAAAAGATTCAATCAACGAACGATGATGATGAAGAATCGAGAATCCAAGATTAATAATGAAGTTCGGAACGTGAACGTGATGAACAACGAGGACAGAGACTGCGTGTACATCTTGATTCGAGTCTTTGACCTCGTACGATTCATCCTAATGAAGACTCAACCCCTTCTACGATAACATATTATTATCACCGGCTAATCACGAGCATCGCAACACTATCAATATCTTCTTCTATCTACTACTTCTTCTTCTTCTTCTTCTTCTTCTTCTTTTATTTCTTCGTAATGAGAATCTTCAATGATTATTCAATTTATATATAAGTTTATATATTTATAATTGTAAATAGTTGTAATTATAAATTGTAGTTATATATCTCATTATATTTTCATTCGAAAAAATGTCGATAAATCATTATTTTACATCTTTTACGTTAATTATCATCATTGTTCTTGATTTTAAAGGATAAGAATACAAACGTCGATATTATTGTATTCAAATAATAAAAATCATACCACTCACTGATCACAATTCATTTCACGTCTCGTCTCTATTTAAATACATTAATTAAATATATAATAGATAAATTTGAACTTTAATTATTTTATTTTATTCGTAAATAATTTAATATTAATTGACACGTTGAATGTTCGATATAGAAGAATTAATTTTCATTTGAAATCTTTCCAAAGATTTCTCTTTCATGGAAAAGTTATAATCAAGAAAAATATTATATCGATTTCTATTAAATTACATCAACGTTTTAATTTAATAAAATAATTTTCCAATCATTTGTTTCTTCAATTTCTTTAAACAAAAATAAAATCGAATCATTGAATGTTTCTATTACTTTTTCACGATCACTATCTCTATTATTTTATTATTTTATTTTATTATTTTATTTTGCTTATATTATTTTTAAAATGTGTAGAATTATATATATTATAATAATAAAAGGTAGCACAGAACAAAAAATTACAAATGGCGTGACTATCGCAATGCAGCATCGACGATGGGGACGACTTTTGAATTCTTCTATCGACTGAAAGAATCATAGGAGAGAATACTTTGAAAAATACTTTGATTAAAAATAATTGGCCCTTAAAATGCCGAACACCAGACACGAGAGGAACATATGTTTCCAGAAATTCGTGAGAGCAAGAGAGTATTCAATAAGAAAAGTGTCCTCCCTTCGGCATTATTTTTTCTTTTCTAATGCAAATTCATCGTCATATTTTTCTGTTTATTATTTAACACGAATAAATTTCACTATTGAATTAAATCATTTTTTATTATTCTATACTATCATAAATTCCCAAATACATACTATAAATAATATTATTGCTATAAATTAGTTTTAAATTAATTTACGATCATTGCGTGTCCAGGAATTTTGTAGTTTTGCGATTGGTTTGATTATAAATATTCATTTGAATATATAATATTTGTATTATATCGATCATATATATGATGATATGTATATGATACTGTATATAATATAGATGATCCTATCACGCGAATATAATGGTATATAATAATCGTTGTAAAAAAAGGGCACATAAGGACGACATTTGTCGTTATCGAAGAGGAAATGGTGCGGACGTAATCTTTAATGGATAGAGTTCTGTTTTACGACTATATCGAAGGTCGTTAAGCGTAGAATATAATAAAACGCCATCATCGTCGTAACGTAGAAAATATATTTTCTTTTTTATTATCCATCATACACTCTCCTACTTTATTCTGTTGGTTTAATTCATCGAGTAATTGTTTAAATAACGCGTTAAATGAAAATCATTAGTTTTAAATTTATAACACAATTCTAATTTTGATTGTGGCGAATTAGTTCTCGAAGAGAATTAAAACCGTGCCAAATGCGCGGGGGCAAATTTGTCACCCAATTAGCAAGGAGATAAGTAGTCGTGTCCCAACTGTATGTGCAGCCATTTTAAGGTTAAGGTCCACGCAAGAGCAGGGGATAAGCATTGCAAAATTAAATGCATCCGAATATTTAGCTAACCTAACCCTCCCAACTTTGTTTGATCTCGTTCCAGGTAAATGTTAGAAGAGACAAAGAAAAAAATAGATTATTTGAGAGAGGATGTATGTGTATGCACTTATGTGTGTATATGTAAATAGAGAAGTCTCTTCTTTAGACAACATAAACGTATGCATATCTACATAAATACACATGCCATGTATATACCTATTATGTAACGAATGTTAAGAATCGTTTCGATTATTGCGTTCGTACAATTATATGGCCGAACGAACAGAGATCGCTATTATTTAACCTTTTTGACGCATATATTGAGGTTAATTACAGAGTAAAACAATTTTCGTGATACCTATCTTACATTTTTTTTTTTTTTATTATTCTTGTGTTTTTATGCATTTCTTTGTTTTTTCTTCTTCTTCTTCTTCTTACGATGAATTTCACATTCCATTTGTCTCTTTTTTGTTTCTTCTAAAACAAAATGGCGGAGGAAGAAACAGCCATTTTCTGTACTCGTATAAATAGTACATATACCTATACATGGCTTACGTTTACAATTGTTAAAATAAAATAAATATAGCATATACGAAATATATGTAAGACATGTTTGTGCATACGTATATGCATGTAAATTGCGAGTGGAAAATAAAGTAACAATATTATAAATATCCTTCCAACGAATAAAATAGCGTAAGAACTCGTTTGGTATTCGCATATGCAAGTAGTGTGTGTTACAGGTAACGACAGAAACAGGAAGGAAGAAGATTATAACTCGTGAGAAAGATCATTTCGAAGAGGAAGATCGAAATATCAATTTTCTTTTTTCTTTTTTTTTTTCTTTTTTTTTTTTTTAAGTAAAGGAAAATGTTGATTTGGGCGAGCGGCATGTTGGCAGTGTGGTTAGCTGGTTGTGTGGAAAAAATTATAGTCACGACCGCTATCGGCACTGCAATTATGACGTTTGCAAATTGACGACGAATGAGAAATACTCGTTAATTAATGAAAATGATTAAATAAAATCTACAATTACATATACTTATTTTTTTTTTTTTATCTTTCATAGAATAAGAAGGATAATGCGATTATAACAAATTTGAAAAAGATAACATGTCAATTTGAAAAGTATCATACGATTATGCGAAGAATTAGTTAACTTGTACTTTTAACTAACTTATATTTATATTGTCAATAATAATATTATTGTATGTGTAAAGTATTTGATTGTAAAACTTTCAATTTCTAACACATACGCATACCTACATGCATCTGACTTTCGTTTTTTTTTTTATTTTTCAGATCCGCCTACGTATCTTTCGGTGGATTATTAATGAGACTGCAGGGTGACGCAAATAACTTACATGGTTTCGAAATCGATCAACATATGTACCTGCTCATGAAGAAGCTTGCATTTTAGGCTAATTTATCGACTAAGAAGATTAAAGTTATCCGACTCTGTCTGTCTTTTAACCCTTTGAGGCACGGAACATACAAAAACAATATTAATTCAATGAAGTTTTTTGTTATAGGATGAGATTCTAATAATACTACCGTGCACATTTATGCATCAAAAAGATGAGACACCGACTTTAATACCGCTTAGTCCCAAAAAATAAAACCAATTTTACAATTTTTTATGAAGTAAAATAAAGTTTATATGGTACATCGTTATCTATACATTGCGTTTTTCTAACAACTCCGTATGTTCTTTTTCCATTCGAAGAAAAGGTTTCTTCTTTCCCTCATCCCTCAGCCCTTTTTTCCCTTCTTCGAAAAATATCGACGGCGGCGGCGGCGGCGGCGGCGGCGGCGTATATTATCATCGTCAGAAATTCATTCAGTTGATTAATTGTAACATTTACGAAGTAACTACAAAGTGCCAGAGCAAGCAATTTGAAACGGCAGATGCAATAATCAATGACGAAATCATTTCTAAAGATTTTAAGCAATGCTATTACGGTCAAATTAAATTCGCATTTTATTAATATGAATAGATAAGACTAAATAATTCAAGCAATGAACGTATACCATTGTACGCTTATAATAGTATTGCATTAGAACTTTTGGAACGTTTGGCATTTAAAATGCATAGTCGGGCTATTTACACACTTAAATCTTTGGCAATGAATAACATCGATTTATCATTAACTTCTTATACGTAACGTATTATGCATTTCATAGATCAAAAATAGATCCAAATGTAAAAGGAAAATAAACATATTAGTAATTTTATTATTTTTAAGTATTTTTTTTTGCCATTTTTATTACATTAGAAGTTTTGAATATTTTAACATGAAACACAGAAAAAGAGAGAGTAAGTAGTGGTAGCTTAATCGTTAGAATAACATGCAAAGTAAAGATATTTTTACCTTGCGCAATGATGATGGCATTGGAAAACGAAGGAGATGGCGGTCGTGTAAAGGTACTTCTTCTCTAGCTTGTATATAGATTTTGGACGTTCACCAAGTTCGTTCCTTGGTGATGGTCGTCTTCGTCGTCGTCGTCGTCGTCATCGTCGTCAACGACAGTTAAACGCCAGGGAGCGCTGGCTACTAATAAACGTGCTGTTCTGTCACCCAGATCCACAAAAATAGGTGCCAGGCATGACCACACCATACACCTATTCCCATCTTAGAGACTGCAGTCATCTTCGGTAACGAGTTCGTTCTTACACGAGAGAAAGAGAGAAAAATCTCTTAGAGATTATCTCTGCACGCTACCTGCAATTTATCAACCGAGTTGGTACACTTCCAGGCCACGGATATAACAACCGTATCGGTTTATCAAATTTTAAGAGAGAACAATTTTGCTGTTTAAATAAAACTAGATAGGGATGTACAATACAACAGAGAGAAAGAGAGAGGGTGTCTTCAAAGTCGCTGTAACAAATTGAAAAGAATTATTATTTTCTTGACAAATATTTTAAGTCGCTAAATAAACGTAACATTGAAATTTTCTTTTCTTTTCTCTGTAAAGGAATTTTGTGGGGGGTGGGGGGGACCAACCCCTGTATGTTTCTTTTATTTTTATTAATAATTATTATCTATCAATATATCTCGTATAATTATTGCAAATATAAGATAAAATATTTAGTATTTGTATTTAGTAATCAATAATCAATTCAATCATTATTTCGAAGAAGAGCGAAAAATAGCTGTTGTTTTTCTGCTATACTATTTCTAATGAGGCGAACAGCAAATGGAAAGGAAATGAGAACTAATTTATATAATTAAACTCGTGCTATAGTTGACCTTGTAAATGAACGATAAATGAGATAGGTGATGTTGTGCATCGTTATATATGTACTATATACTACGACGATGTATACAAAAGAGCTACAAGTCGTAGTAAATTTAAGATGGCCGACGATCTAATCATTATGTAACGCAATGCGCCAAGATGGCCGTCAGTTAATAAGGGTCTGATCCTAAATAGATTGGCCCAATGACACATAATTCGCTTTATCTCCTCGCGGCATCACGTTATTGCGTAATACCGGTAGACTCTTTACTACTAGAACTAGTTAAACAAGAATAAAATAATTGATATTACAAGTTTATCTTAGCGTTAATTAATCAATTCATAAAGTACAACCGCAAAAATATAACTTTATAATATTTTGCAAATTCATTCCTTACAATTTTAACAATTAATTTACATTTATATAAATATAATTTAAATATATTTAATTAAATAATACGCTCCTTTCTGATAATTATTATTAGACGATAGTTACTTGTAAATCATGATATTTTCTTAGGAACTTTTATATTTATTTTACATGAGATTAAGTTTAGTCGTTATTATAACTCGTAAACATTGATCGAATGATGTACAAATAGCTAATCCTTGTTTATCTGGACTCCAATCCAAGGCACTTATCGGTTGAGTTGAAACGGAATTGTTCTGAAGTAGGCTTACACTTCCAATAATGCCTTGCTCAATACCATCTGAATTGGTTTGCTTTCGTTTCTCTGGATAATTACTAAAACAAAATTATAATACTTAAACATCGCGCTAATATTTTGATAATAATCATTTAAAAAATATTAACGAGCTTTTACTTACTATTTCCAAAGACACAGCGTACCATCTCCACCGCCTGTTGCAAATATTTCTCGATTTTGTGGTAAATGTTTGACCATCCATACAGTTGATTTATGCGCCTAATTAAATTATATAATATAAATGACTAGATTTCATTTTATAAGTCTCTTAAATAATTTCAATATTCTACCTTTTCAACTAAATAAGTAAAACCTTTCTTTGGATGTTGGGTTTTCAAGTCGAATAAATAAAATTTACCCTCAAGAGTGGTAGCAACTAATTTGTTCATAGGAATATCACTCCTATCGTATTCAATACTGCAAACGCCATTCTTAAGATTACTTTCCCATTTAAGAGACATCGTTCTCAAATCAAACATTTTCACATCCCCATTGTCATAACCAGCTGCGATAGCTCTTTCTTCTGAATTGTAAGAATTACCAAAGGCAACTGTCCAACAATCTCTTCGAGTTTCTCCTTGTTTAGGTTCCATAACAGCTACCGGTCTATTCTTTTGTCTTGGATCCCATACCTTAACGCTACCATCTCGCGATCCTGTTACTAATTCTGGAGCACCACGACCAATATTTAAACCAGCTACACCAGCAATAGCATTTATTATATCGTTGTGAGCAACAGTTGTATAAAGTGGTATTGAAGGATCTTCCAAATCATATATATTAAGTTTGCCCTAAAATAATAGTAAATTATATGTTAAATTGACAAATATTTAATTTACTTAGATATTGTAAAAGAATTTGTAAAAAGTTCATGCAAAAGTTATTACTATCAGATGTACCTTGAAATCGCCAACTGCTAAATGCCTGTCTCGTAAACTCGAAGCATTAAATGTTCCACATTTAACTGGATTAGAACGTTCAATATCCTTAATGTGTTTCAATTCACCGCTTGATACTTCATAAATTTGTATAATGCCGGTACCACGAGCTCGTGAGCCCATAACCACAAACTTTGCACTGCATGGGATCCATTTTGCATCGAACAAGGAATAGTCAACAGATTTTTCAATGTGACAAATTATTTGCGGATTTGATAATTTCTCCATTATTTCATTTTTTAACTTTGGTCACTACAATCTATAACTGAGTCTTTAAGTAAGTGTTTAGAGTATTGATGTAAACAAAACTGGACGCCATCTGGTATCCTGCGTTACAGATAAATCTACTACTACCAACTCAATAAAAGGAGGTATCTGCTATTACCAAAAACAGTAAAAGAGAAATTTTGGATTATTAGATATTTCTTCAATTATTATAATTCAAAATCTATAATAAAAGATCTCTGTTTTAATATTGATCAATAAGTGTAGAAATGTATTATTATAAAACTCCTTATTTCTCTTTCTTCTAATATTAGTATTAGAAACGATGTTAAAAATAAGAATATTTACAAATTTTGTATATTATGAGATAATACAGTCATTTTTATTATATATAAAAAGTAAAAAAAACTTATTAAATATTTCTACAAATAATTTCATTCACTCTTCTGTATCTGAATCATCAGTTTCTGTTTCCTCCATTTGCGGTTCTACGACAGAATTATTCGGGTAAAATTTGTTCTTAAACCTCTCTACGTAACTTATTAATCGCTTGTCGAATTTCTTTACCTAAAATAACATATAAATAAAATCCAATGGACAAGAAATTACAATAAATGACATTTTGTTTGAAAAAACGAAGAAAATCGCTTACCAACAATAAAACTTTCTCGATACCATCTTTTAAATTTTTCTGTGATAATTTGTCATCTATTTGTATATCTAAGTGCTTTAAGCACTTAATGAGGACATCCTTGTTAATTTTACTATCCAAATTAAGAATTTCAGCAAGTATAGCAAATGCCAAATTATTATGTACACAATATGTATTCATGTTGGATCTGTCACCTCTAATACTGGTTAATTTCAAAATAAACACAGCTACTTCGTAAAGATTTATTTCTTGAAGAGGACTAATATCGGGCGCGTTGGAAATGATTTTTAATGTCGGGAAGAATGCTTCTTCCAGCAGTTCTTGATTTGTAGGTACCTTCTTTAAAAATAGTTCGAAAAAGCCGCTTATGCATTGACAGAGATAAGCGTCATCGGAGTTAGCTGGATTAAAATACATTACTATTATACGCGACAACAAAAAGGAGCAATTGCTTATCCGTAAATTTATAATTAATTTACAGAATCCCTCCGTAGCGACATTTCTTAAATCTTGATTCTGTAACGATTATTAACAAGAATTAATTACATTTCACATTATAGAAAAATAAATATATTATACATGAAATATTAAATAATTCTTACCGCGTTATCCAATAATCCGATTAAAATTTTCATTATATCAGGATTTTGTATTTGATTAATAGACTGACTGGTACAATCAGTAAGTTCTCCATCTTCTTCTTCTTCTTTTCGACCAAATAACTTAATATTTTTATTACGTTTATTTGATTGATTAGCACTATCATCGTTATTAACTTTTTTTATATCAAAAAAGTCAACTCCGTAGCATGTGAGAAGATCAAAAAGAGCTTTTAAAGTGATAACCCAAATGTCTTGTTTTTCTTGTTCCAATGAAAATTGTAATAAAAATGTAAAGATATGTTTTCTAGCTAATTCCTTATCTAATATGCAAAAAATTCCCAAAGCATCCAATGCTAATACATGGACCCTATCGTTTGGATGCTAAATATAAATATATTATTACAAAAAAATAATAAAATATGTATTGAGAATAATATATCAAATGAAATATAACTTACATCCAAACTTGAAATGGCTACATTCAGAAGGCATCTAAGAGTAGTAACTAAAGTTTTGATCGATTTAGCTCTCATCATAGAGCACATGATGCTGAGACATTTGATCATCGTTTCGGAATCGTTTTTTTCCTTTTCGATAACACAGTCATTGATCGTAATACAAGGTTTTGGTGTCTCACTCATTTTCATTAAAACTTGATCTATTTTATTTCGTTGTTCATTGATTTGCTCAGCTTTCAAATATTCTTTATTTTGAATAGCTGTATATTCTTCTTCTTGAAGGTCTAAGATTTGTACTCGTAATCTGGCTCTCTGAATAAATCAACAAAATTCAATATCATGATAACAAAGTAAACTAAATTTAAAGATCTGATGGAGCTGTAGTAAGTACATACTTCCATATCATTTTGATGTTTTTCTTTGGCAGATATTTCTGGTACAATTTCCATAGAATCTTTCATTGGCATTCTGAGTGTTTGAATTGTATTTGCTAAAAGATCAATTCTTTGATTCACATCAGGTACCACATTCTCGAAATACTTAACAACGCATTCAATTATTTTTTCAGAGCAATGGTTTGTCAGTAGGACATTTAATATTAATTCTCTTAAATTATTTCTTCCTGCTTCATCCGATAAATCAAAAAATTTAATAATCTCAAAAAGTTGAAGAAGAATAAATTGGTGTGTTCGTTTCTCCCATTGTTCAAACGATTTAGAAGACATCATGGTTAGAAAATCATTAATATATTTGCAAAAATTGGATAATTCAGGTAAAATTCTTTCCAAAAGATCAAAACAAGATATAGTATGAAAATGTTTAGCAACGCATCTCCAATATAAGGAATTCTCGCTTGACAACTTTTCGACTGGTATAAGTTTAGTAGTTTCATCGATTGGTACTTGAACGATTAATTGATCCGGTGCTGCATTTCTGTAAAAACACACAAATATAGTATAATTCATTAATAATTAACTTCAAATTAAATTGTATAATTGTATAATTAAATACTTACTTAAAGAGTATATTAAGTGCTAAAATAGATACATCAGTTCCAATTTCTGCATCTATTGCTTTAATCAGATCTTTATATTCTCCATTGAAATAACGCAACCATGTAGGTAATAATACAGTTTTAACATATTCTCTAACAACGTCGGATCTATCTTTAAGTCCTTCGTTCAACAATTGATTCCTTTGTTTGATCTTCAAAGATCTAATAGTTACTTTACTGATAAAATCATAAGCCATTTTTCTTACTATATAGTTGACATCTCTAATTCTACTTAAAGCAGCATATAACGTTTTCTGATTTTTAGCCATACTCCGTAATACTGCTTTACGAACATGCACGTTAGGATCCTTGGTTAAATGAAAAATGTACACTTTTATGACAGGACAATTTTCATCTAATGGATCTTGGAGCCTATGCAAAGCAAAAATAGCTTGTGCTCTAACTTTGTGCGATACATCCAGCAACCGGTCCATCATATTAACAATTATTTTATCGCAAAGTGTATCATCTAGAAAGGCGTGTTCGCCCATCGAATTTAATAACATATTTAAAAAATGGCATAGATGAAATCTAATGTAAGAATGCTTGGCATTGAGATGCTCCAATATAAATGTAAATAAATTTTCTAAAAATGGAGGCATGCTTTCGCATGAATCCTTATCAAATGGATAAGAACTAACAGCAAATTTAGCGGCAAATTCTAAAGTATTATCAATCGAAGGATGAGTTTTATCTGTAGCAAGAGGTACTTTCAAGCAGCTAATAAATTCATTTAGGAACAGCTCTTCCTCGTACTGAAATAAAGAAAAAAACAAATTATGTTTATTTTATTCGTATAATAATAATAATAATAATAATAATAATAATAATAATAATATTAGAGGTTATTTTTAATATGAGGAACAATTGTTATCATGTCGCTAATAATCCCCATTGGTTGATGCGATATTAAATAAAGTTATATATATAAAAAGAAAATAACTGTCACTTACTTCTTCTTTGATACTCGTTAATTGCTTTATATAACGTTTATGAGAAGTCCTATTAAATTGAACATTATAAAAAATATCATTTAGTTTATCAGAAAGTTTATTACTCTTTTTATTCGCCATTTTTTTTTGAATAATTCTTTCAAATCTTTTACACAGAATAAACTATAAGTACATAATCAAAGCTGATAATTTTCAAATGTACTACCAACTATCACGAATTTAACTTATTACGGTTATTTTATGTACACATTTTCTTTTATTAACAATTATGAATTATAAACTAACAATACTGTTTAAAACATTTATCTCGTAGGAAAAATTATTATACTTTTAAAACTTTGTAACTTCTTATTAATTATAACGTATTGCGAATTAATTAATAAATCGAAACAAGTACTTTAGCAGTTTATAACACTGTAATGAATGAGGTTGCCAGTGATCACAGAGACTTTAGTTCGTTTGATCGACACAGGGGCGCAAAATTATCGTACGCCCCGGGAAAATTTGAAATCCGACAAATCTCGGACAAAATTTTGAAAAAGTTGGAAAAAGTGTCCAAGTTCCAACTTTTTCAAAGTTGATGACCTTTTTTTTTTTTTCTTTTTTTTTTTTAGTCATCAAGTGCGACCTTAGCGACCGATAAGGGTTAAAAATGATATTACTTTAATGTAACTATAATAATAGAGACATTTTTTTTTTATCAAACAATCAACATTATTTTTCTTATATGATATTAAAGAATTATTTAAATATTATTTGAAAACATATCAATTCATTAATATCTTTTTTTATTTCCCAGAAATTTATTGAAAAAAAAAAAAATATATATATATATATATATATATAATCTAGAGAGCGCCATACATAACCAAAGTTTCTTTTTCGTATTATGTGTGTGATTCATATGATCGAACCTGAGCGCAGTTGCAAACAAACAGAAGATGATAGTATTAAAGTGATGAGCTGTCAAGTTGATAGAAATATTATCAATTTTTAATACGAATTATTTTATAGTAAAACCCAGTTTATATGTTCAATTGTAAAATTTATTGTTTATTAGAGGTCTTAAAAGAATTTCAAATGTAACAAAATTTACGCAGATAAATTATTTATCATGATATTTTTTTAGGTTATAATGCTACGCATAAGAAAAAATATTTGATCATCGATATAAATACATAATAAAGTAAAATTGTCAATGATTGTCAACACTATTGTTTTATATTTTAATCGGTGATATGGCTCGCTCCTCAATTTCGGCACAGTGTGATTCTGTTGCTTCCTACATGGATGGAGTTCATGTTAAAATCGTGGAAGCATACAAGCCACCACGAAAAGTTGCTTTGCCAGCAGTGTACAATAATAAATTACCAGATATATCTAAATTAGTATATAATTTCAGCTTAGAAAAATCCGTCCTTGAAAAGGTACAATTCTTATTTTATTTATAAACCTTTACAATATCATTTTTCAATTTTCAATTTAGCTTTTATTTGAAAGATTTATGAAATAATATATATAATATTTTTGAAGATGGCAGAATGGCGTAAAGCCAGAGAAGCAAATATCAAAGCACGTACAGCTCGATTAGAAGAAAAAAAGAAAAGAGAAAAGGAGGAATCTCCGCCATCACCTCCACCTCTTCCGACAGAAGGAATAAAACAGCCACCTGTCAAAGTTATTCCACCGCCAGAAACAACAATACTTACTCCGCAACCCTTGTCTCCGCCAGCAAATGATTTGCAAAATCATGTACAATCTAATGGACTTAACTATGCAGATTTTGATAATGACACAAGCAGTCCTTTTGATAATATGGAATTAAAAACTATTAACGATATGGAAGAACTTGCACAGGTTGGTAACATTTGTTTGTATTGAAAGACTAGATGTTGCTTACAAAATAATATTTAATCATTCTAGTTGTATGCAATATGTTTCTTGTAATTAGCACTTTACATTTACAGTGCCTGTTTATGCCTGTAGGTATTGCAACCTACATCGCAATGGATACCATCTACCAAGTTAGAAAATATAATAAACGAATTAACTATCGAAGAACAATCTGTGGTTTGTGAGGAAGAAAAAGAAGAAAATCTAAATATTAGTGCGCATGGCGATGAAGACACTGACCAAAATATTAATGTTAAGCATCGCAGTGTATCAGCAATTGTACAAGAACTTCAAAGGGAATTGGAACGGCCTCCGATGGAGGTAAATTGTATTGCGAAATTTCAAATATTAAGTAAACAATTATTCAAGTATAAATTATTACATTATTTATATCATTTATAATAGAATTGGAAACCTTGGCCTGATTTGGAGAGTCCAGATGCTGATTCGTACAACAAACACAAACACGAACATTTATTAGTATCGAATAGTTCAAATCATACAAATCCTCTTTCGAATTTAAAAGGAGAAGATCAGAAACTAGCTCAACATCTAAGTGATATGGGATTTCCTTTATCACGAGCAGCACGTGCTATATGTGACCTCGGTGGTGAAGACAATAAAAAAGTTGTAGAATATCTTCTAGCTATTCAGTCTTTAGAAGAGACTGGTATGTCTGGAGAGGATGCAGAGAAAGCACTTACATTAACACATTATGATCCAAATAAAGCAAAAATATATTATAAAAATTTATGCACATTAAAGGATTTAGGATTTCCAGAAGATCAAGCATCTATGGCATTATTGAAGTGTGATATTGATAGAGATAGAGCATTAGACTTTCTTATTTCTTAAGATTTTAATAGTTAAATATGTGCTTTAGTGAAAAACTTCTGACGTTGTGGAACTTCTACTCTTATCATAGGTAAGCTTGTTTTGTTAATTTTAAGGAAATTCTGTTTATTTTTCACTTATGTATAAACATTTGTTTTAATGTTTGATGATACGTATTATGTTGCAATTAAGAAAATATGAGTATTGAGACTGACAAATATATCTAGTATCAAATTACATTAAATTATAAACAAAAACATAAAAAGAAAAAAGATTAAGAACATAATCTCTTTTTATTTTCATAACAATGTATATACACAACAACGAATAATTTACTAGTTATTTACAAAAATATTATCAATCTATGCAATACCAATGAAAAGTTAGCATCATGTTTGAATTAGTCATAAATTTGAAAGCACAGCTGAAAAAAGTAAATGTGAATATAATTCTATGATGATATATAGAAACTTTCAAACATTATATTACCTTCTTGAACAACATAAAACAATAGTTGGAATCGAATATATATGATGAGTGATGCCAACAATAATCCAAGCTTCTGTGAAAATTGGTTGTTGACAATGAGAATTTACACAAATAGTGGCGGGTCCATTTATCAATAAATTATATGAAGCACAGTTTACAGAGGACATTAGAAAATCTAAATTTCTTTTAGTATTTTTTTTATAAACAACTTTAACGTTTATAGGAGATGTAGAAATATTAAGTATATGCTTATACCTAAAATAAAATGTTATAGATTCATCTATAGTTTCGTTTTTAATTAATTGTATATAAATATTACTGTAAAAATCAACAATGTATTGCATACTTTAATCTGTAAACTTTTCTCAGGGCAAGTTCCCACAAAGAGACAGTTTTATTTTCATTAACATTATGAATCCTTAAAATTTGCCTTGGTAATTCAATCACTATATTTTTATTGCACGATGTATCTATTTTAATATTTAATTTGATATTTGTACTCAACGATTGATCATTAGCACATTTCAATTTGAAACATCTGTAATAAACAAGCTTTACATTTAAAATAAGCAGAAAAAAACTTATTAATATAAATAATTTATATAATTTAATATATATATAGCCTACTTATAGCCTAGGATATTCACTGAATCACCAGTAATTGATGTATGAATTTGATAAGCCAATTGGATGAGGACAGGATAAGACAAATAATTTAAATATTCATTTGCATCAAATCTTATGCAAGGAGATGACAAGAAACCATTTAATGGTAAATATTTTAACCTGTATAAAATATTATATAAATTACACAAATGATAATATGATTGAATATATTACAAATTTGAATGCATGTCATTTCTTATATCTCTATGTGCATGTGTGCGTGATATTATAGAATATAGTAACCTGTTTGAACACACTGATATCACTGACATTTTAGGAGCCAATGTCAATCTATTAGGTAGTTCTTTTAAATAATTGTTATCTGCATTTAATTCTTTGAGCTTTGGTAAAGAACCAAGCCATTCTGGTAATGCTACAAATTCATTTCCAGAAAGAGATAATACTTCCAGATTACGAAGCTGGCTCATTTCTGTTTTGTAAATTGAGGTCAATGCTTTTTGTATTATAAGAAAATAAATAATGAGCTTATAGTTATTAAATGTCCTTTAAACATATACTTACCCATTGGTAATTTTTTAATGTAATTATTATTAAATAACAATGATTCTATATTTATTAAATTACCAATAGAAGATGGTATTTCTTCTAACTTGTTTGCACTCAAATCTAGTACAGTTAGTTGAGACATATTGCCAAGTTCTACAGGAAGTTCTTTAATGAGATTACCGTAGATATATAAATTAGTAACATTAAATAATTCTATTATCCATGGTGGTAAAGTCGTTAATTTATTCCACTTCAAATATATTTCTTGTATGTGGCTGCCATATTTTCGTATGATTTCTGGTAACTCTGTAAGACCTCGACAGTTCCAATGTAATATTACTTTTTCTTTTATTTCATTCGCCATTTCTGCAGGATCTAAGTCCATCTTTAAATGAAGATTAATTATAATATTTTTCAAACAATTACAAATCTATATAGGTAATCTATATAGTTATTTAAAGTAATCACTTTATTGTTGTCATCGCAAACAAGATTGTTTCATGTCAGGTGTAAAAATACAGATATAATATTGTAAATAAATATGTCACAAAACAATTATTCTATTTAATTTTTTAAGATATTTGAGCATTTAGAAAGACACGATTGAAAGGTTTTGTCAGCTAGATTTGTCTTCATCCAATATTTATCAGTTTTATCATGGATACCTTTAATTATCCTCTTCTTGTACAAAAGTTTATATATTCTAAATTAGTAATAATGAATCAATTTAATTCATGAAATTTTTACTTACATACGTTTTATTGATGAAATCTTTTAAATTTGAACGCACCTACGGTTATACATCACGTAAAATATATATTTTCTTTTCTCATTTAAATAATGAAATAACTTCTATATATATATATGTTTACGCGTATCTCACAAATTGTAAAATTAACATAAATGTAAACGTAATTATTGTCATCTGTAATATTTTGTGTTATCACGAGTTAATAATAGATTGAATTCGTGATCATAGATATCAATACGAATATTTAGCTAGATGCATTTCTTTTGTAGTAAGACTTGAATTACAGCTGATCGTGAAGCATATATCGCCATCTGTAAATGTTTTATTCTGACATATACAGGATTTCACAAAAGTCACATTACTGAAAAAAGAAAAACAAAACAAAATGTTATAGTAATATTAATAAACTAATATTAAGATTTTTGTTTTTAAAATATAAATCACAATCATGTTAAAAAAATATAAGTCCATGATGAATCACCATTATAAATATCTACCAAAATGAAATTTATAGTTTTTTTAGTTCAGCAAAGTGATTTTTGAAACATCTTATATATATCTTTGAAAATAAGAAAAACTTATATATAGTAAAAGTAATTTCTTAAAAAAATTATTATCCAAAATTCTCTTTACATTCTTTACAATATAACATTATTGTATTCTTTAGTAATATTTATTTGTAATAACATTCAATAGATTTTAGCAATGTTTATACATAAAGTATTTTACTGCTTATATACACTTCGCGTATAGCTACAGATTTTGGATAGTGAATAAGAAACTAATACTCGGCATTAGAAAATATAGAATGAACATAATAATTTATTTTTAATTTTGTACGCGCGAGTTATATTTAGAAAAAAAAAGAAATATTTTCTCTAGAAATCGCATCTTTCTCTTTATGTTTTCAGTCGTTTCATAACGTTTAGCTATGGCGCCCACGAATTCAGTGATCGTCTAAATTTACAAGCTCTATGCCGGCGGCGTTAATGATTTTTAAAGGAAAAAAAGTTTATTACAAATTCTAAATCAAATATAATATTTTCCATTCATTAGAGTATTATACTTGAAAAATGGACTTGGCTAGAAGTGCATGGAGAAAATCAATTTATATATATAAAAGTAGTTTACAAAATTCTTTAAGAAATAGGTGAGTGTTTCATAGTATTATAACCTCAAAATTTCATTTAATCTGATTTAAATGCAACATACAATATGTAATATTTTATTAGATGTAAATAATTATATTTGCAAATGTATAGTGTATATATGATTTTATATTACAGTGGTAGCACACCATCAAATATAGCTGAGGTAGCTGTTTTTTCACGCGATGGAGATTCTGGATTAACTGTTACGGATGCAGGAGATACAAAGCCAAAAGATGATATGATTTTCAATGCTTTAGGAGCGACAGATGAATTGTCTTCTTATATTGGATTAGCAAGAGAATTTGCATGCGATGGTAAAGTTGAACATCCTTATGTGGATAAACTTAAACGTGTGCAAATGATATTATTTGATTTGAATCATGCTATATCCAAATCAATACCAGGGAAAACCAAAATATTTGAAAGTAAACATACTAAAGATCTTGAAGAATGGATTTTAGAATATGCAAATCAATTGCCCCCACCTGAAGACTATATTATTCCTGTAATATATATTTATATATATACATATATATTATTATGTAGACATTTTTAAATATAAATCTAGTAGGAAATGTATTTTAAATGGATTATCTTATCTTTGTTATATCAGGGTGGTGGAAAGGCTTGTGCTTCTCTTCATGTAGCACGAAATGTATGTAGACGAGCAGAGAGAAGTATAACATCTTTGGTGCGCAATGGTGCTTTAGACAAAGAGGCACAAACATATTTAAATAGATTATCAGATTTTCTTTTAACCGTATCACGTATTGCTGCAAAATGTGATCAACGTACAGAAAACATATATATTCCTCGAGCAGAAGTACAAGAAGAAAAATGAGGAACTGACCTGTATAAATATAAGTAGAGACAGCGCGCTGATATCTTATATTACAGATAGATAGATATCGAAACTATCTGCACAAATGTAAGTGATAGTATCAATGTCATGCATTATGTATTAACAATCAATTCGTTAAGCATCTTATAAATATAGAAGATGTATGTTCTTTATACTTAATAATTAATATATTGTAGATGCATTTGTTGTAGTATGTTGAAAAATATACTTATTTACATAAATTAGAACATACTGAAACTATTCCAAAGAAGAGTTTATCATTTGTTATAAAATTATTCAAGCATTTTTATAGAAATTGTGAATTTAAGCAATATAAATGGGGGAATCCTTGTATAAGGATATTGCATTAATTTGGGTAATTTTACAGTTATAATCCCCAAAAGAGAGTAAGATTTTTGAAAAAGTATTTGTGCAATTTGTACTACGTAATAAATGAGTCCAATAATGAAATAGGAATTGTACATAGTATTGAATTTTTTTTATTTAATAATTTATCTTGTATGTCTCTTGAATTACATAAAATATTTATTAAAACAGAATGAAAAATCCCAATAATTTTGCATGTAAATATATAGAATATCTATGTTTCTCTAAATAAATATTTAGATTAATTAAGAAAAATTATTTGTATATGTAATTGTAAATAATTTTATTAACTAAAAAATATAATAAATACGTAAAAAGTTCTACGAATTATGATAGCACCAGAACTCTTGTACAACATAAGATGTAACATTTCTGTGCACTATTTTCTAGAAACTTAAAACAAGATGAATTGAATACAATTAAACGTATCTTTAATATATTTTTTTGATACTTCACTCTAAAATTTCATCTCCTTCTGCAATTTCTTTTAAGTTAAGAACTTCTAATAATCCAGTACGTTTAGTTTCAGAACTTATTAGTTCATCTATTTCTTTAAATTGACCAGGATCTATTAGGCAGACTAAATCTAATGTTCCACTGTCCCAATTTTCACTTTCTATCTTTTTTACTGTTTTTAATAGTTTTTCTCTTAATTTCTTTGCCTCTCTGCCAGATATTGTTATTTTTAGTCTCATTTGTGCTCGTTCTAATGGCATTACAGTTTTAAGTTGTGGAATAATATCTAAAGCTTGCTGTTTTGCATTTCTATTAGGTTTAACTGAAAAATGTATATCTTTCATAGCCTTTTCTATCATAGATATTGGATAAGGTCTTGTTGTTTCTGGATTTATACATTTCTCAGCAACAGTTGTGGCAATATCCTTGAACATAGAATCTATAGCTAAATGCCTTTCTTTATCAGAAACTTGTAATTCACCTTTAGCAAGAATTTCTTTGCAAATTTCTGTATGATCTTCTGTACCAAATGATTTTAAAAGATCTTCCTTTTTGGCTACCTGACCTTTAGACACATTTGCGAAAACTGTGTGCGTTTGAAGTACTTCATCTATATCATTTTCTCTGTAATAATATGTTGTTATTATGAAATTTATAGGTTAAGTTCGCGCTAACACGAATTCACGTTAAAATAACTTTTTAAACCATTGCGATTTTGTAAAGATTAAAATCTTACAATTTGTTTCTCCATGAAATGACTTTATTTTTATAACAAGCTATTTCAAATCTTTTACCAGTTTTCTTCATTCGTACAATCGCAACATTTGTTAACCTTATTTGATTCGTCGGAGTAAATATCTTAGACATTTTTTAACAGTGTAATATAAATTCTGAATATATTTAACAAGAATATTTTCTTACAAAATTCTAATATTTATTATATGTTTTCGTATTGATAAAGTAGACACACGATAAATGCGCCTTACACCGGTTTTACTGTAAATGTCGACTTTCGATATATCGATTTGCAACGAGATCTGAATGCAATAATGTATAATAATAATACTAGGGTACAAATATCATTAGAGCACTCCTAAGATAACAAAATTACACAATCTTATGAAAATAAACTTTAGAGATACAAAGATAATTGCTTATATATTCGGAAATATTTATATTCTGCATTTGGAAAAGATCTGAGTGTTTTGATTATATGATTTTTACCTTTTTAAGCAGGATCACCTGTTATGTGATCCAACCATTGCATGTTATCCATGTATTTAAAAATTTCTTAAATTATAAATCGTAAATGCTTTTATTAATGAATTTTTTCTACTAAAAGATTTTTTATGGGGATTACTATTCTTGGTGTTGTCGTATCTAAAGATATCAATACTCTATTTGTGATTTTGATCTTTAGATAAGAATAAATATAGGATCCATCATCGTTCATCCCGGTGAAAGAATTTTGAATAAATTAATCATATTTATGATCTTTACGATATTTAGACTCTTTTATTTTAAGGTTAAACCATTTGTTTGAAAATTCATATATTAAATTAAAAATTTTGATTTAATTTATTCTGAATATTTTTCCTTCGAGATCTGAATCTCATATAGGAATTAGTTTGCTACGTAATCTATAGGGGATGCTATGTTAAAGCGCGCGTAAATCATAAATATTTTCTAACATTTTATAATAAATAAAAACTTTGATTTCTTATTTTTATATAATGTTAGCATGCGACGATACATATATGCGCTCTTATATGATAGCAAACGATGATAATATGATTTTTTTTATTTAACAAATAAATAAATCGAAATGGCTGTGATATCATACACACTGAAGTTTACCAATAAAGTCAGAAGATATCGCAACGAGTGAAGTATGCGCGCGCGTTTGGCGCATGCGCGTAAAGCACCTTACGTGAGACTGTATCGAACATGGCCGCCGCGAGCGCGATGCTGTTAAAGGTGCGCGAAAAATGATACGTTTTCCGTCGTCCTGACGGCGGGATCCTTTTTAAACGAGTGCACGGTGACAGTGATCGTTATCCTCGAAATTAGGAGCGGACGGAGGAGGATTATCATGGCGTTGGTCACAGTGCAGCGTTCACCAAGCGTGTCGAGTTCTCCCCAGAGTTCGGTGAGTTTTGTGTTTCTTTCAAGTACGTCAAACGAATATATCGACGCAACACGATAGCGTCCCTTTTGCAATTTTTACGCGCTTAATCTAATGTTAATTAATGAGAATATTGTCTTTAATGTTATGTTTTGAGAATCAGATGTGTATCTTAAAAAATACTCCTTGTTATGAAGAAAGAGAGATGGAGAAAGAAAGGAAGAAAGAGAGGCAGGGAGAAAAGAGAGACATAGATGAGAGGATAGAACGAGAAAGAGGGAGGCACAAGGTATAAAAACGATAGATTCCCTTCCCATATTTGGTGGTTTTAACATACAAGCGTGATTATACTTGAGTGCTTTCGAAGCTGTAGCTTTGTTGTCTCTATGTAAGTAGAGGAGACGTATGAAAAGAGAGAGTGAAAGAAACGGAGAGTGCATCCTGAGAGGGGGGTGGGAGAAAGCGAGATAGAGATTTTCTGTTGGCGGTAAACAAAGGGATCGTCTACGTCACGAATTTTATCTTCTTTATTCGCGATTGCATAGTCGTTATACCGGGCTAGGACTTTCATTTTTATTACTTTTGTCCTTTTAACAATCTCTTTTGTTATTCCGATCAGGAAGATATTTCTTTTCGTTTGAAATCTTTCAATGGTTTAACAAACACGTTCTCTTGATCAGCAGTTGGATATATGTTTATTTCACCGTCTGTTCGTCTTCCTCTCCTGTCATTGCACTTTTACCACAAGCAGGAATCGTTCGTATTCGTGGGCGAATACGTGTGGGCGAATCCGCAATTTTGTTCACTCACTTTGAAAGATCCTTCGTCTCTCGGAAGATAAATGTGTGCATCTATTCGAGTAGGAATATTCGTATATCGTATCGAGGATCTATCGATAAAGGGAAAGTCCATGGATATATTGTATTATTTATGTGCCGAAGATTTTGTTTTCTTTTATTCGAGATTAGTTAGATTAGATTTTTGAATGACGCGCGCGCTAGTAGGATCCATATCGATTTTTAAAGAGACGAGTACCATTCGTGGAAACATTCGAAACAAGCCCTATTGTCATAGGTCAAGGACGCTGCTATCATATTTCTCTCTCTCTCTCTCTATTTTTCTCTATCGCTCTTTCCTTTAATCATTTTGTAAAAAGAGACATGATAATACGATTTACATGGAAGAAATATATCATTATTTTTGTTAATTTGTGATAAACAACAAATTTATTCGAATAATCGTGCTTATATCAATTACTAATATCTAAACTTTCTATTAATACATAACGACGATTGTTATCTCTTGTATTTGCGCATATTGTATGCATATATGCGTGTGTGCGTATATATATGTATATAAATTAGTTATTTACTTTGTCATGTCTCTTATCGGATCACATTGATTTCTGCTATTTGTACGGAAGTTTCGAGGAAACATCGAGTTTCTACCGATATTGGTCCGTTATCGATTTCTCTCCTGTGATAAATTGATAAGCTTCGGAAATATATATCTCAATGATTTAAAACATTGACTAACCGACCTTCTAAAGAGGACGATCGTGCACGACTATTTTACTCTTATTCGAGTTTCATTTTCTGTGTGAAAGAAGAAATAAAGGGGAGAGAAAAAAAAATAAATAAATTATCTAAAACGATCGATAGATCGATCTATCCGTCACGGTTTGAGTTTAATTGCAAGCTGTTGCCGGTTAAATGCAATATAAGTCGAACGATCAAGATTGATCATGCGCACGATCGCTTGACCGTAACACACACGCGCGCGCGAGCTTCCGCGTCTTTTAAATATCGATATCTTCTACTTACACGCTCGGTTTGAGCCGAGTAAGAGCGATCGTGAAAACGCTTGTTTCAACGATATATACCGAGAAAATAAACGGACCCGATAAGAGGAGATTAAAAGATCACGATGGAAGTGATCTACGCGATTGCTCTATCCTTGATACCGTAATTCTTTGCACACAGGCGCGTATTGCTGTCTATGTAACGATCTCGTTATTCGTTGATTAAAATTAACAACGTTTCGAGTATTAGATGAATCATACATCATCTATGTATATATATATATATACATATAATAATATATATGCAATGGGTTATTTCTATGGAAATTTCAATGAATCGAAGAAAATTGATGATATTACTTCGTGTAATAGTATATGCCAGGTTATCTCGAAGTAATAGAAGGAACGTCGCGACGTTGGTAGAGTATATATGCGCACACACTTTACTGATGCACATAGCGCGCGCGTTTTAGAGGGTGCACTATGGAGGCGCTGCTGTGGAGGTAGCAGCCCTTCTACACACTTGGCTTCGTATCCTCCGATTCAGTCGGTTCGCCGCCACTCGGCACGACGGTGAATCGCGTGCGGAATACGAGAGGAGTCAACTTTCTCTCTCTCTTTCTCTCTCTTTCTTTCAGTTTGTGTCTATTAGTCTGTTTTCTATTTATCTTTCTTTTCCCTCTTTCTTACCTTTCTTTTTAAATTATCTTTCTCATATGCTTTTTGTTGCCTTTGAAAATTATTTCTTTTCTTCCTATTCGTATCGATTTGTTCTTTTTACGTTAAAGTATGTGATAAAAGAATAGTTCAGTGGCAAACTAGTGAGAAAGTAAATAAGAGGAAGGAAGAGGATGATACTTTTAAAGCAAAAGAATGCGATCCATTATGGTCTACCGCCAGCACCGGCACCCAAGCCACCGTCACCTTGGTCCAGCATACTCTGGGGCGACGAACGTCGACCTCGAGGAGGAAAAACGGCACGAGGCGCGCGCGTCATGCAGCTGCGAGACAAGGTCACCGCAAAAGTAAGCTCCGGAAAGGATAATTCGAAGAAACGATTTTTCTTTCTTCTTCTTCTTCTTTCTTTTTTTTTTTCTTTCTTTCTTTTGAACTAAATTAACCCTTTTCTTAGTGTCGGAAAATTCGTTTCAATTCTCGAAGGAATTTCGAAATGCTTAGAGATGATGCTGCTGCTGCCGGGAACAATAGATCTCCTAGAGTAGATAGGAACGTTGAAATATACTATAGGAATTTATTCTTTAACGATAAAATAAAAAATAGAAAAAGCAATACACGAAATGCCATGATATTTCGAGTATTGTTTGCATCGTTGTTCTCACGTTACGTCTTTACTTAAAAAGGGGAGAGGTGTATCTAACTATCGTTGTTAATAAATTTTCTTTCCTGGTCTTCCTTATTCTATTTTTCTTATGCTGCTACTCCTCTTCTTCTTCATCTTCTTCTTCATCTTCTTCTTCGGTCGTGCACTGATTTAAGCTCATTTGTTGCCACTGTCTCTTTGTGAACGTAATTGCGCTTCGTTTCTCGTAATTAGACCGATCTACTTGGAAAAGTTCACGTAACACCATTGTATAGTTATTTTGTTCGTTAATGGGTAGAATAGAAAGGAAGAAAATTCTTCCTTTCGTTTAAATCTAACGCATGCAACACCACCATCGTCCTATCGTTATTGCAAATAAGAGTTAACGTAATGAAAGTAAATATATATATACACACACACACGCATATATATAACATGTTGTTTATATTGGACTCACTTTTTAAAGGAAAGGTACGAAAGAAGACCAACCAGAAACATACGAGTACATTTATCAAGAAAGAAAGAGAAACAGGTAGAACATTATTATTATGTAAAGGCTTATCTTTTCTCTCGATCGTTTCGTATATTACTCGAAGAAAGGTGTATCAAGAATTCGAATGAATTTATTGAGCTAAAATATTACGCGATTATGATTTTAGCATTATTCATTTAGTATAATCGGTTGTAAACGATTGAGATCTTGCTTTCTATTTCATTCTTTCGTTACTTATATAGAATTTTCAAAAAAAAAAAAAAAATAAAAAAAATAAAAAACATTTTACGCGCATTACATCAGGTAGGTTACAATAGAGAATATAATAAAACGTCTTCTCCTCCTTAGGCTCCTTAAGGAGCTATAAGGAGTTCTTTTTCACCATGAGATCTTATCGATCTCTCGAAGTAAGAAAAATCCTATCGACGAGTTTCTTCTTGTAGATGCCGTGAGAAAGCGAAACCAATCCGGTGGATACTACTTAGCGAGAAGGCGGGTGTGTTACATACACAACTATTACATACATACATACATGCATACATACGACACTGGGACGATACTTTAATATGTGGGAGAAAGAGAGAAAGAGAAATTTGATGGTGGATTATTCACGTGGGACGAGTTGAACTTTTCTACGACCGCATCCGCGTTTCGCCAACGGGGAACACATAATAACGTGTAGTATATATACATATATGTTAAGAAGATAGATCTGAAATTTGTCCTCATTTTCAATAAATACAATTATTCCTCTCGTTCTTTATTAATTTACATTCGCAACGTATACTTGAAGAAGAGAAGGTAAAAGAAAGAAGGATAGAGAAAGGATCTTTCGTTTTTCTCATTTGATTTTCTAGTCAGGTACGTTTTTTTTTTTTCTTTTTTATTTTCGTGTCCCCATGGATCGATGAGTAAATTCACGACGATGGTTTACATTCAACTCGCGTGTACTCGGCACCCCTTTTGATATTTTACCTTTCGATCACTTTTCTTCTCCCTAGTGCACGTGTTGTTGATACTATAACGAAAGAAACGCAAATTATGTTGGATCTTTTTTTTTTTTAATAATATTATTTTTTTATTGTTATATCATGTATATGCGTATTGTTCGTATTGTGTATCGATGAAACCTGCTGTCATAGCTGTGGTTCAACTCGATACGATTAGTTGGTGGTACCGGATGAAGAATCGCGAACAGGTTTACTACGAGTATTGTCGTAAATGGTGTTGTTGTATCCTCATGAGCACGAGCAAAAGTGAAAATGGGAAGCGAGATTGAAAAGGTCGCTGTACGTTTCGTGATGCAACGCGAATCGTGGCCTAGAAAGGTAGAACTACTTTGTTCGACCTGCCGATGCAACAGTTTATATTCCGTCCGATATTTTTACAAACAGTTATTTCATGAATTTATCCTGTCGTGCGTGAAATAAATATATATATATATATTTTTGGAGAAAGTTAAAAATAAAGAAAAAGTATCTCTCTCTTTCTCTCTCTCTCTCTCTCTCTCTCTCTATTTGTCTTTCGCGTTTAACAACTTTTACAATAAATCGTTTTCCAGTTGAACTCTTCAACTTGAAATTCGATCGATAATATAATACAATGATGTATTTTATCCGTGTAAGTTTTTCTAATGATAGCCAAGAGATCATGCAGGAAATATATGAGGAAAATGTTCAAAGTAAATAAAAGTGTATAGTTTAGGTATTACATAGACGATGGTATTTGCGTAGCCTTCGTCGCTTTAAAATCATCCTTTTTCATACTCTCCTCTGGCTTTGGTTTATGGCACGATGGTATGTGCGAGGGTTCTTTGTCGGCGTAATGTTGGATTAGGTAGCCGCGAGTGGATTGACAAAGGAGCAGTGTGAAAACTTGCCTTTACAACGATATTTACACCGGACGCGTGTTGTGTGGATCTTTTGTCGTCGAGGGTGTCTTCTCTTCTTTCTCTCTCGAACGTTAAACTTGATAAACAGATCCACCTTGCGATTTTCTTACTTAATTCAGCGTGAAAATTTACGTGCCATGTTTTAACACGATGTGTCACGTAACGTGGTTTCTATCATAAATCTTTGTCTCTTCTATAAATCATATATAATTGTATATAATATTATACATAATATATAATTGTCAACCCTTTTTTCCTTAATATTTTATTTTCTATTAAAAAAAATTATGAACTTATTTATTTGTTACCTCTAACCTCCATATTAACCCCCATATAAGAAAATATCTCGTTATAACATATAGATATATATATGTCGTTATAAATTTTGTAGCTTTTGATCTTTGTCACTTTTTAGTAAGATTTACCTACCGCACGGTAGCGAATTGCCGTCATATCCTCGTTAAAACAAGGCCACCGATGATATATCGTTCACTCGTAACGACTTTCGTTCGTATATGCCGGTTTCCTAAAAAGGTATCGCCATCTCGTTGGCGAATCGTTTATGGTGAGTCGTCGTCGTCGTACCTTTGGTCTCAATCGTAAATGCAAAATAAATCTCGTTGTTACTTTGTAATCATTCGTTCGATCGATCGATATTCAAAGACTCCAAAGACTGAAGATTTTATTTTTATTTTATTTTTATTTTGTTTTATTTTTATTTATAAGACGAACGATTAATTTCAGTTTAACTCTTGGCATTGATCTTACTATACTATTTAAAATGAACAAGATCTCAAAGTTCTACTCATTTAAAACGCACGTGGCAATTTATATATATATGTATGTATGTGTGTATATGTGTCGGAAAATCATCGACACGACTTTCTCAACGAGGTCATCTCTCCTTCCTTCCTTCATCTTATCCAATGATTTTTTTTATTCTTCGAAATCTAGCCAAGAGTGAGAGAGATAGAGAGAGGTCATGAACGGGAAAGCCTTCTCCATCACGAATATTCCATTTCATTAAGTTTCCAACCTGTCCGTTCGTACTCGTGAAAGGAATTATTTATTTCACTTCTTTTGATTGATGAGTACAAGTTCGCGAATCGGAAACTCATTTCAGAGGAATTAACATTAACCGAATGAACTAGCTTCGAATTTTAATGACCGTTTTATTGAAACAAGTTGCTACAGATGGTGCATATGTTTCTTTATCATCTATCTCTTAATATATATTTTATTTTTCTTATCCTTATTATATTTTATATTATTAATTTTAGTAGTTATGTATATAGTATGGTACAGTTGTTATTAATAATCATCGTCATCGTCATCTTCATAATGTCATCCCAAATACGGTATTATAACATTCCCACTTTCTCGTTCTTCAACATTTTCAATTCTTAAGCTCGATCCGTAATCTTTTAGCCAACCACGTGGTGATGGTGGATTTTCCTTACGATGGCCGGCATTTAGTTTGCCTTGAAAGCCGCAATTAAAAAGCTACGGCAGCCTCCTTGCCGGTTAGATCTCCCTTTCCACCCCACCCCCACTACCCTCTCTCTCTCTCTCTCTCTCTCTCTCTCTCTTTCTCTCTTTCTTGTTCGCAGGGTAAGACGCGCAATCTTCTTTTCAGCAAATGAAAGGTTCTATTTTAAGCACGAACCGGCCAAGCCGAGACTGGAAAATTGCACCGTGGTACTAATAGCCGGCGCTATTTTATGCTCTCGCACGATAAATTTCCTCCCCCTACCTCCCCCTCTCTCTAGTATAAGGTAACACGTATATATATATATGTGTGTGTGTGTATGCGTGCCACACGTTGTTGGTATCCTTTTCTATTTTCAAGGATAATTCCTTTACCAAAGGATCCTCTCGATCGTAGCTTTACGAGTAACACGAACCACGATTTTGTGTTTCTAAAGAATTTCAATCGCATATTTTTCAACCAACCAATCATCATCCTCGACTAATCATTTTTATCGTTTTATTTCCGATTTATCGATCGATCGATCGATCGAATTTAATCGATCTCGTGTTTCTTATAATCTATTTATCACCTCGTTTTTCATCACTTTCTTATATACTTCACCTTTCTTTTTTTTCTTCATTCATTTTACTTTTCATCCTCAAAGGAGTACGTCGATCGAGATTGAAAGGAACAGAAATGACGTTATGACTTTAAGAATTGTTCTTTTCATCATCGAAATTATTTTTTTTTTTCTTACCTTCACGCTTATTTTCAAACTCGTCTTCGTTGTTGTCGTCGTCGTCGTCGTCGTCATCGTCGTATATCGTGACGATGCTTTTTCTTGACTTCACGTAAAAGAAAGTCTTTTCAACATCGCGATTGTCTCGAACGACAAAAAAAAAAAAAAAAGAAGAAAAATCGTTTCTATTCGATATATCGATAGATAGGCAACGTTATTGGAATGATTTAAACAAAATTTCTATTTCGATCGTCGCGTTGTCCAACAGCAGTCTCCTTGGTCCGAGAGATTTTTCACGGTTTCATTGATCACCCGTAACTAAACAGGGGAAGGGGTGGAGGAGAGGAACAAAAAATAGTTTTGCTTAGATCACGATGAAATTTTGATAGATCATCGTCGTCTTGTAATCTTAAGAAAGTGGAAACGTTAATGTTTTTTTTTTTATAGATGATTTTGCAAAATCAATAAATTCCATTACGATTTCGCGAATTTCATGTTTCTACTCTCCTTTTGTTTCTTATATTTTTATTTATTTAATTTTTTTTTTTGTGTGCATGTTTCATTCGTTTACTTTCATTCTCGTGGTCTCGAAGTACTTTGAGAAATTTCTTTGGAGATCGATGCACGTAAAAGTGACCGTAAACTCATGAAGGATAAAAAAAAAAAAAGAAAAGGGAAAGCTCCCATGTATTATGGGGGGGTTATATACATATGCATATACGTACCCATACAAGTATAGGGTATAATATTCACTATACTGTAGGATCGTTCGTCTCTGTAACTATGTAAAACTCATCATCCCCCTACTCGTTCTTGATTTTGGTTCCTGGTTATCGTCTTTTATCATATCGTAAAAGGCTTCCCATGCTGTTACGCCATGACCCTTCCCGTTTCCCCCTTAACCATACAACTAAACATGGATTTACGACTAATCCGTGAGAGACAAAGGAAATGTGCGGTCTTGGTTGAATCGATAACGTTCGTTCGTGACGTTGATAAAAAAATCACCAGGCATGCCCTTGAGATAAGAGTTCTTTTCCTTTTTTCTTTTTGCTCGTTCGAAAAAAATCTCTTTTGTGATTGAAGAAACTCTCGTACGTTTAAATGCCCTTTTTTATTTTTTTATTTTTATTTTTCATTTTATTATATTATGAATTTTGATTTCGTTTCAACACATGTTTGCTATACAATCGAAATTCGATTAACATTTTAGAGATGTGATGGTAGATGGACTTGTAGTTACGATAAAATTCATTGTAATCCAATGATCCTCTTAGAAACACTAAAGAAACCTTAGGCGTTAAAAACGAATCGGTTGAAGTGAGACATATTGAATATCAATCCCTCTCGTCCCTCCCCTATAAAATGTACATTTCTTTCATCGACTTATCATATTACCTTTACGACGTTTTCTTTTAATTTTTTAAATGTACAGACAAATTTTTCTATATACCATATAAAGTATTATTATTCTCTATGTAGTTTCAAATTTCGAAATATGACCTTCGAATTCGAGTACGTTACAGAATTTATTTCAAAGTGAGAGGATCCTTTCTCTGTTAGGGATGCGAGGAAAGAGAATTCCGAGGATGACTAACCCCAGTGTGTAATATACAGTAGTAGTAGTAGTGGTAGTAGCAGAGTATAAGGTCCCCCTTCGATTCAGCGTAGCGAGTTTTGAGGGAAGCGGAAAAGGGTCGCCTAAACATATATATATATATATATATAGGTATTTTAAATATATATATACATAAGTACACACACTCACGCATATGTATATGTGTGTGCAGATCCAAGTAGCATGCACTTTGCATGCGTTGAATGCTCCGTGAGCCACCGAGTGCACTCACGTTCTGAAGGGGTGGTTGCATTTTTCTAGCGCGTCGAAAGAAAGAGATGGAAGGATGGGGGTTTGAAGGGTGGTGAAAGGGTGGTGGTGGTGGTGGTGGTGGTGGTGGTGGTGATGGTGATGGTGAGTAGAAGAAGAAAGAGCGAGTTCGAGGGGGGTACAAACGTTCCTCGCCTATTGATTTTGAAGACTCGTTTTCTGCGTGACGTCCTCGACGATACTCTCGCTCCGGTATTCTGGCTATTTATGATGCGCTTTATTAATAAAAGAACCGCCTTGTCCCTTTCTCTTTTTTTCTTCTTTTCTTTTCTTTTTTTTTTTCGCTCAACAACGATCGTAAATGCCAAGTATGCAAGTATACTTGGCATGCATACAGTTATATATGTATATATATATCGTATAAGGGCATGGGTTTAACTTTCCTAGGGAAATACTTTACGTTTCGGTTGCGATGCAATTTCTTGGAAAATTTATTCGACTTAACTTTTACTTGTTTTCATATTTAAATATTTTTTTTTTTTTTTTATATCGAATCGTTAAAATATTACGATTTGTGTTCGTGTAGATACATACTTAAGCATACTTATTCTTATGTTATACCTACGTACGTTTTAAAAGGAACCTTTTTTTTTAAAGAGGGCTTTTTCAACTTTGAGCCTCGACGCGTACAACTACATATATGTATATATACATGCTTACTTTGCTGGCTTGACAAAGGGAGACTTGAAACAGGTGCCTCGTACGTAGGTAGTCATCCAAAGTTTTCTCGTAAGCATACTCGAGCCCATTATACACATACCTAACACTACCTGTATAACACATATATATCCCCGAGCGTTCAGGTCGTTCACGTTCTCCACTCATTTCTGACATGGTTTTATTAATAAGTGTCGCCGCGTTCTTTTATGACGCGCAGTAAAGCCTTTGTTCCAATAAAAGGAAGCCATTCGAAATGCCACGTACGAATGCCATCAATGCTCGTTCCATATGAAAATTTTGCTCGCTGGAATTTCTATCTCGTATTTACGACCCATCATCATCATTATCATCATCATCATCATCATCGTCGTCATTTTCTTTGTTTCCTTTTTCTTTTTTTTCTTTTTTATTATTCGTGCTTTGCATATTGTAACCGTTATTTTTGTTTGTTATTTCATTAGATCTATAATAATTGTTATTTTGTTTATTTTGTTTTTCAGGATTCGGGAGCAGGAGCCCCGGCCGACGATGATGACGGTGCGAGAAGTTGCAAAAGGTGAGTCCTTTTTCAAATGATTTTTTTCAAATTACGTTCTTATTCACGTAATTTGTTTTATCGGTATACTCGTAGAAGAGTTCCTTTCTCGGTAACGGGAAGTTTAAAAATCATAAAATATGCAGTGAGAGTACTTGAGACTAGACCGTAAATAAAACACGTCGGTAATCATCAAAAGCTTCACGATTCATACATATTTATGTTCTTATTACGATATATGAAAAAAAAAAAAAAAAAATTAAAAGAAGAGACTGCGTTAAAGTTTATCTTTTAATTTCTTTTTTATTTCTTTCTCTCTCTTTTTTTCTCTAATTCAGCAGGTTAAACACGATTCAACCGATTCGATCATCGATTTTAATTTCATGAGCAAAGCAAGTTCGATCAAGAGCAAAACGGACCCCTTTTTATATTTCTGAGATTACTTTTAAACCAAAAAAAAAAAAAACCAAAAAAAAAAATAATACAAGAACTTGAAACCGTAGGAAGATTAAATTTGTTGTTTTTATGTTTTCTCGCTAATCTCACCTCGTAAAAGACATTTAATGAGCGAGTTCTAGTTTGATAAGGATCGAATCAGGACTATGTCATAACCATTAAAACACAGTGTGTTGACCTTCTAGAGTGAAAGAAAGAGAAAGAGGGAGTGATTGGTGGTTGAGTAGGGGGGTAGAAGGGTAACCTGAGGAGATCATCGTCCTTATGTTAGACAAAGAGAGCAAGAAAAAAAGAAAGTGTGGAACTCGTGGACGATGGTTGGCCGATACATCGAGATAAAGGATCTAAAATGGTGTAACATCATTGGCTACTGGTAGGAGAGGGCTTTTAACTTACTTTTTATTTTTATTTTTGTACACTAACTAATTTATCCTATCTCCTCATTTCCCCTACCCCTATCCCTTTTCTCTTCAGTTTACACCACGTTTATCTAATATCGTTAAGAGAGAGAGAGAGAGAGAACTCGTTTTCCAACATAAGATCATCGAACTTTTCACCTTTCTAGTTAGATACATGCAAGTTAGCAAGTTTAATGTCGTTATCGTCGTGTGTTGTGTTGGGCTGTTAGTTAAAAGGGATCTTTCAAGATGTTGGTTAAGTTTTTGCTATATCCGCTCGTCGGTGATCGGCTTCAACATAATGCTTATCAACGTGAAAATATGCATTTTTTTTTCTACGTGTGGTTTTAGTTATCATCGATTATCGAGTTCGTTTCATTAACAAGCTCGTTTGCCAATCATTTTCTTACTTATTTTTTTATTTCTTTATTCATTTATTTATTTYCTTGTTTTTTATATCCACTACACGTTGCACTTTAGTATACGAGATCTTTTTATTATCTTATTTAATAACTTAACGGTTATCTTGTATATTTATCAAGAAACGTAGGATGAAATAAAAATATAAAAAAGAAATAAAATGACGTGTCAAGTTTGAATTATAACATAGCAGCACAGTTGACGTTGCCAATACATTACGGTAATATAAATTATAAATTAGTTTATTTCATTTTTATAGAGTTGAATTTATTATATTTAACGTGTGAACTCGTGTACGATTCGTTAGATAGATTATTATTATTTAATGTGATTTAAATATATCCTATTCGTTTCTCTTTCTTCTCTATCTGCAATTGTAAGGAAATAAATTTCCTACGTTTAGCGATGATTCAATTAAAACGACTACCTTTCTTACTCTTTCTATCCGTCACACGAAGAAAGTCATTTCCCGGTGCGAATTTCCTTCATAAAGAGTAAACACAGTCCGGGGCAAATAGTTACGTTAATTTGTAGACGAGACGGATTAAATCTCGAATAACAGGAAGCACAGGTGAACCCAACAACTCTCTTGGCTTCCTCGAGCTGTCTTCTTCTTCCACCCGCTAAGAAAGGTAGTAATAATAGTAGTAGTAGTAATAGTAGTAGTAGTAGTAGTAGTAGTAGTAGTAGTAGTAGTAGTAGCAGCAGCATTTCTTAATCATTATCCATCCGACTTTCTACTTGCAAGTTCTTTGTGCAATAAACGCGTTGTCGTCGTCTCAAACTACGACAACGTGAGGGCGAAGGGAGAAAGAGGAAAAGGGTAAACGCGGAAACACGGAAATTACATTCGATTTCTCGTTTTCCAACTGAATTTGATCTTCCTCCTCTTTCCCTCTTTTTTTTTTCTCTCGACTCAACTCTCTCAACCTAGAAATATATACATGTATAGTGTACTCTTGTAAATTCAGGAAATTGTCAATTTTATCTAATGATTTTTCTTAATCGTTTTTTTTTTTTTTCGTTAAACATAGTTTAAACATACAGATAGTTTGTTGCACGTTACAATTTTTCAAACAATAATTTACATAATTGTACATTTTTTTTATGATAGATAATCAAAGCTTTCAGTTGATAAAGTAAAAGAAATATTAATATTGATTTTTCGTCTTCGTGTGTATTCGTAATAAAATTTTATCACAATGGGGATTAATTAATTTAAAAAAAATTACATAGAATAATCGATTGATCATTAAATCAAACGAACTTGTTTCTATCTACCATTTCTGGCAGTGACTCCTAGCATCGGTGCGCATCTACTACTCGCTATTTTCGATCACCGTAACGTAAGAGTGATAGTAACGTATCTGAGACATGAACTTTAATACACATGAGTGTCGATTAGTTAAAGGTCAAGCTAGAGAAACGAAGTTGTAATCCAACCCAGATCTATCAAAGTTAAAAAAAAAACAACATATAATTAACGTGTTTTATTCTTTTTTTTTTTTTTTTTTATTGATCGAATAATAAATTTTAGGACACAAATTTCTTCTAAAAAGTCTGTCGAATTATATTTCGAGAAGGAACATCTGGAAGATGAAACGAGCTGAATGACTGACTGACTGACCCTCCTCGAAGTTTATATCTGCGATTATGTTCTTGCTGTTCGTACTACCAACAGTTCGTTCACGCCCCTCTTCTGCAAGTTTCTACACGTGGGAACTTAGGTACTTGCACGTTGAACGCATACGCTATTTTTATGTTTTTTATTTTTTTTATGTTTTTCTTGTAAAACTTTACCAATCATTACATCGCGTGTATTCGCATAACACAACACGATATCGAACATTTCTCATAGAAACTTTCGTGTAAAGAGAATCCCGAGAAACTTGGAGAGAAGAAGATGATGATGTTGAATTCGTGCAAACATTTCTGAGATATTAAACTCTCGTGTAATTTTCAGTAAGGAATGACACGTTAATCAAATACAGGCAGTCTTTGATATGTGCCAACTAACGCATGATAGTAGAGAGTAAGTAAAATAGTAGATGATATGAGAAGTTCATATGAGATAGAATACGAAGAAATATAATATCAAACTTATAGAATAATAATAGTTATGTTTCTACGAATTCTATAACGATCAGAGTATTTTATGTTCGCATTGAAATAAATCGGTCTGACTTGGAATATTTAACTTGCAATAGAAACTGACTTTAGTATTGAATTTAAATTCATTCGTACGATATGCAAAACGTTTTACGATCAAATACACGCCCCCCAGTTTATTATCCATTTGTTAGTTGATAATTATTTGATATGAGTGATGTATGCATGTGAGGATCTTGACTGTAACAGCAGCAGCAGCAGCAGCAGCAGCAACAGCAGCAGCAACCTTATTTCGGTTGGTACTCGTTTTTTTGTCTTCCTTACGAGTGAACGATGAAAAGCATTGTTCAATATCGATTTATCTATCTATCGATCGATCAAGGTTTTCCTCAGGCGTCGAAGGCGACGAGGCGTATTGAAAGTCGCGGAGACACAGTACGAAAGATCGTAGAACCGAGTAACTCCGTGACGGACACTAATGAGTTTGCGGTCGGGTCTTTAAATCGACGATAGGTCACGCGGAACGTGAAAGTAAGCACCGCAAAGTAACTCCTTTTTCTTCTTATTCTTCTTCTTATTCTTCTGCTTCTTCGTTCGCGCGAAAGATCTGATCGGTGAAGGAGGATACCTATATAGTACCATCAAGTTTATCTATCTACTCTCTTGAGAATCGACAATCCATTTCGTGAGAAAACTTATGAGATAAAACTTTAACTCGTCAAACGTCGATTTCGAATGATAATAGAATAATATTTTCATTAGATATTAATCTAATTTCATTTCTAATAACTAATTAGTTTTGATCATTTTTATTTATTTTTACTTTTTTTTTTATTTTAATTATCATTATCATATCGAGTATTTGCGATATATTGTAATTTTYTTTTTTTTTTTTTTTTTTGATTCGTATAGGTAAAATTGATGGTATCGATTCTTGTTGTACTTGGTCTACTTTTGATTGGCTACCCACAGGCTTCTTTCTAACTTCTCTTTTCGATACATTGTTTAACATAATGGTACCGCTTGGACGATCATAAAACACCGTTGGTACTAGCCCATAAATCATTCCTTCTTACCTTGTGTTGACTACTATGAATAAGGACGACGAATAATTCAAAGGGGAAAATATTTGCTCCACAGGAATACTGCGTTCCTGCTGTTGGCTACACTTTCGAAGGTGTTATTCGAACTTGATCGTGAAGAAAGAATATTTTTTTTTCTTCTTCTTTATTTCTATTGATGTTTCGATAAACAATGAAATAACCAAATAGATAAAAGACAAAAAAGGAAGAAATAAAAGTACTATTGGTTATTATTTCGACGCTTTCACTGTAATAACACCTTCGTTGGACTTTCTTCTTCTTATTGCAAGATTAGCGGTAAACTGAACAGTATAACACAAACAATATTTTCTTCTATATCTGTTTCTAAAATCAAATTTCAAATGCGAGAATCAGGACGGAAAGGAAGAATCCTTTTTTTTTTTTTTACCTTTACCTAGCACAAATTTCATCGTTCCATAATTTATCGCAAAACTCGACGAATAAAGTTGACTTCTTCTTTTTTTTTTTTTTTTTCCTATCGATTTATTTTTTCCTCAGTTTCACTCTCACTCGACTGAGACTGTTTAAAAAAGTT